CATGATCTTCTCAGAGGCATTTTTGTGTGAAGTTGGCATTGGGGAGTTTTTCTTTTGTATATATATGATAATTGCCGAATCTGACTAACATCTTAGGAAACTAACATCTTAGGAAAAGAGTTTGATTTGAAACTATAGGTGGAATATTCCTTCAGCCAGTGGAAGCCAGTTTGAGGTATTCTTCAAAGAAATCTTGTGGTCTAATCTGTAATTGTTTTTCCCTTTTTGCTGGGACATATGTGCTCATTACTTTTAAGGCAAAATTTGTGAATTTGTTTCATGTGGTTTCCTCTAATGTGAACATTTTTTCCTCCTTTTGCCATGATAATCATTTTTGTAGGACCTCTGCATGTCCCCTGCAGAGCTCAAGGTACTCTGCATTTACGCATCAGGAGAGTTTGTTTTATGGGATTATGTTGAGGCATAGAAAGATTGAGTTCTTCGTCAGGATTACATAACTGTAGAGCCAGTACTTCATAATCTATTCCTTAGTTTCTTCATTTTGCTTCCACGTGGTAACTTTAGTATTTGTTAGACCCTGTCCTTCTGAAATTTCAAATTGCTGAGGAAATAAGATAGTCCTGTGGGAAGGAGTAGCATCAGCTCATACTCTCTTTCCCTGTCTAAAACTCATATTAGAGCAGTCTTTTAGTTTTGTCCCTGAAGCTGTTATTCTTTTGACATGTTTCCTGGCTTGTGTTTTTGAGGTGTACGTGTGTTGGGGGATGGAGGTTTCCCCTAATGACATTCATAATCAGTGGCCTCTGTATTTTTTTATTTTTATTTTTTAATTTCAAAATAAATAGAGATGGGATCTGTGTTGCTTAGGCTGGTCTCGAACTCTTAGGCTCAAACAATTCTCCCACCTGAGCCTCCCAAAGTGCTGGGATTATAAGCATGAGGCACTGCACCTGGTCTTCTGTATTCATTAATTCATTTCGTTTATTTAATTTTTTTTTTTTTTTGAGACAGAGTTTCACTCTTGTTGCCCAAGCTGGAGTGGCAATGGCGTGATCTTGGCTCACTGCAACCTCTGCCCTCCAGGTTGAAGCAATTCTGTCTCAGCTACCCGAGTAGCCGGGATTACAGGCGTACACCACCAAAGCCCAGCTAATTTTTTGTATTTTTAGTACAAACCGGGCTTCACCATGTTAGCCAGGGTGGCCTCAAACTCCTGGCCTCAGGTGATCCACCCTCCTCGGCCTCCCAAAGTACTGGGATTCCAGGGGTGAGCCACTGTGCCTGGCCTGTATTCATTTAATGAAAAGCTGCAGAGATATTAAGTAAAAAAAATCTCCACTTTGCCTAGAACAGTTCTAGGCTGAAGTGACTTTGACTATTCAGAAAGGATGCTAAAATCATTTCTTTACGAAGAAACTTGTTGTCATGGTTATATTTCTTTCCGTTCCCATAGCATCAGAAATAAATAAAACCTTAGACTTGAAAGCTAAAGCCAAGCCTCTTCCTATAGTTTCTTGAAGTCTTGTAAATTTACCAATCTTCATTATATGATGTCGTATTTGACTGGTTGAATGCTTAGATCTGAGAGTATTCATCATGCCACCCTTAACCTGGAACAAGTTGTGGCTGTTTAGCCAGATTTTTCTGGATTTCTTCAATGAAAATTTATCAGCTTTCAGTGTGCATATTTTAAGCTGGGTTTTTAATTTTTTTACTTTTTGAGACAGGATCTCATTCTGTCATCTAAGCTGAAGTACAGTGGCAAGATCATGGCTCACTGCAGCTTCAATCTCCTGGGCTCAGGCAATCCTCACACCTCATCCTCTTGAGCAGCTGGGACTACAGGTGCATGCTACCACACCCAGCTAATTTTTTATTTTTTATAATAATTTTTTATAGAGATATGGGGTCTTGCTATGTTGCCCAGGGTGGTTTCGAACTGCTAGCTTCAAAGTGCTGGAATTATAGGCATGAGCCACTGTGCCTGGCTTAAGTTGGGTTTTAAGTGACTTTTTTTTTTTTTTTGAGGCAGAGTCTTGCTCTGTTGTACAGGCTGGAATACAGCGGCGCGATCTCTGCTCACTGCAACTTCTACCTCTCAGGCTCAAGTGATTCGTCTGCCTCAGCTTCTGGTGTAGCTGGGATTACAGGCACATGCCACCACACCTGGCTAATTTTTGTATTTTCAGTAGAGATGGGGTCTCGCCACGTTGGGCAGGCTGGTCTCAAACTCCTAGCCTCAAGTGACCCGCCCTCCTCGGCCTCCCAAAGTATTGAGATTACAGGGATGAGCCACCATGCCTGGCCTTAAGTGATATTTTAATGGAATCTGAGAGATAGACTCTGACCTTAAGGTCTTTTTTAGCCTACTGTTTCTGTGATTCTTCCTCCACTTCTCTCCTTGGTCCCAGGTGATCGGGAAGACGTACTTATACATAAAGGGTAGGAAGGTATGGGTAGCGTTGTCTGATTAATGACTGGCTGTTACTGTGTTGGACTCCAGCTAAACAGGCTTCCTGAAGAGTGGTACATTCATATACCTTTAGTTGATGCTATTTTTTTTGAGATGGAGTCTTGCTCTGTAGCCCAGGCTGGAGTGCAGTGGCGCGATCTCGGCTCACTACAACCTCTGCCTCCCGCGTCCTGGTTCAAGCAATTCTCCTACTTCAGCCTCCCAAGTAGCTAGGATTACAGACATGAACCACCATGCTCAGCTAATTTTTGTATTTTTCTTTTTTTTAGTAAAGACATGGTTTCACCATGTTGGCCAGTCTGGTCTTAAACTCCTGACCTCATGATCCACCTGCTGCAGCCTCCCAGGGTGCTGGAATTATAGGCTTTAGCCACTGTGCCTGGCCTACCTTATGCTTCTTAAGGAACACTAGAAAGTGACTTCACTACGTGTTTTTTTTCCTTAATCCCCAAAGTCATGTAATAAATGTATGCGTTTTCCTGTTAAAACAACACTTCTTTCTTTCCAAATGAGAGTCTCTTTGGTTTCTTATTAGCCATGTTACTCTCTTAGCTCTCCCTTGCCATGACCATCTGGATCTTTTGGAGGAAATAATTTTCTGTGTCTTTTACTCTTAAAGGAAACTGGTGGTGACAAAAGAGAAAGAGAAGAAAGTGGGGCTGTATACAATCTATGTGAATCCTGCCAATACCCACCAGTTTGCAGTGGGCGGACGAGATCAATTTGTAAGGTGAGTTTGTGGCTCTTTTGTGTCTTTTACAGTTTATAAGACTGATGCATTATATATTACCAGATGCTCCTTTATGGAGAGTTATGAATTTTCTAGAAATCCATTAACTATTATCTTGAATTTTTTACCATTTTCCAAACATCTTATGTGCCTTTTGAGATATTCTGTTCTCTTATAATTAACAGTCTCTGAGGGGTGGCTTTACATATTTTAGAGATTATCCAGTTTTAAAGAAGTTAGATGATGGTCAGGTGCAGTGGCTCACACGTGTAATCTCAGCACTTTGGGAGGCAATGGAGGCCAGATCATGAGGTCAGGAGTTCAAGACCAGCCTGGCCAATATGGTGAAACCCCGTCTCTACTAAAAATACAGAAATTAGTTGACGTGGTGGTACATGCCTGTAGTCCCAGCTATTCAGGAGGCTGAGGCAGGAGGATCACTTGAGCTCAGGAGGCAGAGGTTGCAGTGAGCCAAGATCGTGCCACTGCACTCCAACCTAAATGACAGAGCAAGACTCTCTCTCAAAAAAAAAAAAAAGAAGTTAGATAAATTAACCACGGTCCTCACATAGCAGCTAAGGCATCAATTTAGGTTTACGAGCAAGTGCTGTATTAGTAAATAATCTTCACCATTTTCATACATAAATAAACATGCACTAGAAATTTTAAATACTGGTTTTCAATTCAGAAATAGTTTGACTTGGGAGCATTTAGTGTGAACTGAGGGTTTTTTGGCTTTCACTATCCTGAGCTACCACTTTTCTTTATCCATGGTGCTATCTTTGTTACTGTGAACACCTTTTGTTAACACTGGTTCTTGAGAAACATGACCTAAGGGAAACAGACACCGTGGATTCAATCTTCATATGTATTAGTTAATTTCCTCTGACCCTTAGTAATAAGCTGTATTCATCCCTGTCCAGTTGGCCTATTTTAACAATGTTTCTTTGGGATCATCAGTTTGAAAGGAGGAGAGAGGGACAAGATCACTAAAAAAAAGAGTGACTTTTTGCTTTCCTAATGGTAAGTGAAAAGCATCATCTTCCTTTTGAAATGAGAGCACATTTTATAGCTGTATTTCCACATGCGTTTTATTAAGAAGAATCATAGGGAATAGGGTAAATTTTTAGAAAATACATGAGAGATGACTTTACCTTGTTCAAGAATCCTTGACAAAACCTTGTTTCTTTCTTCTTCCTCTATTCCCATGCCTTCAAAATTTGTTTCCTCTAGTCACCAACAATCCTCAAATATGTCGCAATAGATTTTTTCTTTTTAGATAAGAAGCTGTTGATCAAGAAGGCTTGTAGTTGTACAGATTTTCAGTTGCTACCTCCTCCAAGTTGAGCATTCACTGAAATTTCTAATTGGGAGCTCCTACTTAGAGTTCCAAATTACTTGAAAAGTCTGTCTCTAGCTAATTCCACTAGAACAAAGATGTTTGGGGGGGAATGTAGGAGTTTGCTGTATTGAGAAATGTAGTTCATAATGTTTTAACCCAAAGCTGATACTTTCTCAGGGTTAGAGTACGGCTTAGAATTTTAGTGTTTCAACACAAGGAGAAATCAAATCTGTCTCTTATCAGCCCCATATCCTCTATTGGCTATTTACTTGGCAGAAGTTATGTAAAAAAAAAAAAAGTTGTTTTTTTGTTTGTTTGTTTTGTTTTTTGAGACAGAGTCTCACTTTGTTGCCTAGGCTGGAGTGTACTGGCTCCATCGCTGCAACCTCTGCCTCCCAGGTTCAAGCAATCCTCATGCTTCAGCTTCCCAAGTAGCTGGAATTACAGGCATATGGCACCGTGCCTGGCTATTTCTGTATTTTTAGTAGAGATGGGGTTTCGCCATGTTGGCCAGGCTGGTCTCAAATTCCTGTCTTAAGGGATCCGCCTGCCTCAGCCTCCCAAAGTGCTGGGATTACAGTCGTAAGCCACCGCGCTTGGCTACTTGAAGATTTTGAGGCATACTGATCCTATGTGAGCAGGTAGCCCTTTAAGCACTCCAGCTCTTCTCTGACATTAGGTTACACTCAACTTCTTTGGCACCTCTTCTGTTCAGCCAACCGAATGTTTTGAGGTTTCTCCTTTCTTTTTTTTTTTTTTTTTGAGACAGAGTTTCGCTCTTGTTACCCAGGCTGGAGTGCAATGGCGCGATCTCGGCTCACCGCAACCTCCGCCTCCTGGGTTCAGACAATTCTCCTGCCTCAGCCTCCTGAGTAGCTGGGATTACAGGCACGTGCCACCATGCCCAGCTAATTTTTGTATTTTCAGTAGAGACGGGGTTTCACCATGTTGACCAGG